TTGTAGCGAAGAGTTATACCCAAAGAGAGGGGGTGGACTATGAAGAAACCATCTCTCCTGTTGCTATGCTTGAATCGATTAGAATACTCTTGTCCATTGTCACATTTTATGATTATGAAATTTTGCAAAATGGATGTCAAGACAGCCTTTCTAAACGGAAATCTTGAGGAGAGTATCTATATGGCTCAACCAGAGGGGTTCATTGAACAGAATCACGAGCAAAAGGTTTGCAAGCCTAAAAGATCCATTTATGGGTTGAAGCAAGCATCTCGATCTTGGAATATAAGATTTGATACTGTGATCAAATCTTATGGAAATCTTATAGCTTTAAACAAAATGTTGACGAACCTTGTGTTCACAAGAAGATAGTCAATTCTACAGTAGTTTTCCTAGTGTTGTACGTTGACGATATCCTACTCATTTGAAATGATGTGGGATTTCTAACTGACATTAAGCATTGGCTAGCGACACAACTCCAAATGAAAGATTTGAGATAGGCTCAGTTTGTTCTTGGAATCCAAATTGTTCGAAATCGCAAGAACAAAACACTAGCATTGTCTCAGGCATCGTACATCGACAAAATGTTGGTTCGATATAAGATGCAGGACTCCAAGAAAGAATTATTACCTTTCAAGCATGGAGTTCATTTGTCGAAGGAATAAAGTCCTAGGACACCTCAAGAAATTGAGTATATGAGACATATTCCCTATGCATCAGCAGTCGGTAGTCTAATGTATGCCATGTTGTGTACCCGACCCAACATATGATATGTTGTGGGAATTGTTAGCAGATATCAGTCCAATCCGGGACATGTTCATTTGACTGATTTTAAAAATATCCTCAAGTATCTTAGGAGAACGAGGGACTATATGTTGATGTACAGCGCTAAGGATATGATCCTTACAGGGTACACTGACTCAAATTTTAAGACCGATATCAATTCAAGAAAATCGACATCGGGATCTGTTTTCACTCTGAATGAAGGAGCAATAATATGGAGAAGCATAAAGCAAGGTTGCATTGCTGATTCCACCATGGAGGCTGAGTATGTTGCTGCTTGTGAAGCAGCGAAAGAATCTGTATGGCTTAGGAATTTCTTAACTGATTTGGAAGTTGTTCCAAATATGCATCTGTCTATCGCTCTTTATTGTGATAATAGTGGAGTAGTTGCAAATTCTAAAGAACCAAGAAGCCATAAGCGAGGAAAACATATTGAGTGCAAATATCATCTCATAAGGGAGATTGTACAACGAGGAGATGTGGTCGTCACACAGATAGCCTCAGAGCACCACATTGCTAATCCATTTACAAAGTCCCTCACGACTAAAGTGTTCGAAGGTCACCTAGTGAGTCTAGGACTATGAGTTATGTACTTTATGGCAAATGGGTGAAATTGCATGAGTATGTGATGCCCTAGTTTATTGTATTTATGTCTTTCTCTCTACTCAACATTATAAAACTCACTAGAGTTTTAGTCCAAGTGGGAGTTTGTTGGGTTTTATGTCCTAAACCTCATAGTTTGTAAACAAAAACATATTTTATTTTCAATAAAGTTATTATTGATGTTTATTCAGTAAAGATTGTTATTGAATAAAGTGAATTTTACGATCATTAATTTAAATCACATAAGAGTAGATCAAGTTTAAGTATATAGTCAAAATGATCTATAGTACAGAGATAAGGTTGAGTACCTTATCTTGGGGACACTATGGATGCGGCCCACTTTTGTACATGATATAAACAATATGATCACTAAATTGTACATGTGGAGACATGTGAGTGGGGGTGTCCTATGCAATGAGTATTGCATAAGATCGGACCATGAAGAAAATCACTCTCACTTTTTAATGTCGGTTACTGTTGAGACTGATTTTTTCACTTGATGACCTAGGTAACTCGACCTTAATCCTAAGCTAACTATGAACTCCTGTTTATTCAAAATTATCTTTAGATTTGCATGGGTGAGAGTGGTCTGAGTTCACCGACTCAATAAGCCTCACATTTCAAGGGTAAGACTGGGTGAATAGCTGGGGACATAGGGTGCAAGATAGAATTCACTCCTACCCGCTTTTAGGGATAATAGAGAGGTTGTTCCCTTGTACTAACTCTAGGTCTTGAACAAGAGACCCCACCCTCTCATTGGCCAGAGGGATTCGATTTGGTGGTTGGACCACAAACCAATTATTCATTAGAGGATCAGTGGGACTTAAGGAACAAGAAGTAACTTTAGGGGTAAAACGGTAAATTGACCCAGCTCTAGTTACGAACAACCTGTGAAGGATCGACTTACTAATCATGGTTATATCAAATGGACAAAAATATATCTATAGTGAGGGGAGTGCAACTACTAGGCTAGAGTGGAGTGTCCTAGTAGTTAATGAATGTTGGTCAACAAGGTTAATTAGTTTAGCCGGTTAATCTCGAATCGTTGAAGCCCATGATCTATAGGTCCATTAGGTCCCCCTGCTAACTCATATCGGACTAAATCTTAGAACAGTGTGACGAGTGAGTTCGAAGTGTTCGAATTCAAATCAGGAAAAATACACTACATATATATGATATATTTAACCGCATTTTGTTTTAATTACGAATTAAACAAAAAGAGAGAATTAGAGATATTCAAATAAGATTTAAATATTTTAATTATGAATAAGGATTCATAATCAATATGTGCCGGAATTGGTTGGAATTGGCATTTGAATTAATGTTAAATATTAATTAAATTGTTTAATTAATCATTTAATATTGTTTTAATTTGAAATTAATTATTTAAATTAAAACGGAGAAAGTCAAAATGTTGGCTCCACCTAATAGAAAAATTCATGTTTGAGTTAGTGGAATATTGAGTGTTAATATATGGTTTAACCAAACTTGCATGTTTGTCACGTAATCCCACAAATTTGAGTTGAATTTCGAGTGTCAAAATTTGTTTTTACCAAACTTGCATGTTTGCCAAATAAACTCCACAAATTTCAGTTGAATCTTGAGTGTCAAAATTTGGTAATCTCAAATTTGCATGAACATGCAAATATGACTATAAATAGAGTGATCAAAGTACATGGAAATTTTTCTGTAAAAACTTTGAGAAAGTCTCTCAAAACTCTCTTTACATATACTAAAGTCCTATAAAGTTTAGTCACTCACCGGATTCCACAATTCCGTTCTAAGGCCGGAGTATAGTAGGGAAGACACTAGTGGTGGTTCGAAATCAGTTCGTGAGGAAAAATGGATTTGAACTACAAAAGGTTAGTATTCAAACTCATTGAGTTTTAATGCTTTTGAACATGCTAGCTAATTTATTGTAATTGATGTACTTAGGGTGCCTAAGATCGAAATTGCTTCCGCACGTGTTATAGTAACACCATCACATCCTATGTGGACTACTTATTCATGTTCAGCCTTAAAGGGGAACCCATGCTCAATATAAAAGGAAAAAGAAGACCAAGAAGTGAGACACACTTTGAGAGAGAAAAATCGGATTAGACAGTAATGCCTCTGCTGCTGTGAATTGCTGTGAAACCAGAGAAGAAGAAGAAAAACCCTAATCCAGCCGCTGCTGACAGCAGAAGGAAGAGAAGACCAGGACAACGAGGTGGACGTGAGAGCTCAAGGGAAGGGAACTTCCATTGAAGAACGACAACAAAGCTAGATAACTCTCTATTTCCTTACTCTTTTTTCTTACTTTATCAATTTTATATAATTAAGATGTGGGTTACTCTGTTTAATTCAGTTTCTATGAAGAGCTAAACTTTATAGGGGAGGCGAGAGAGTTTTATATAGTTTAAGTATGTTGACAGTATGATTTTAATTTATTAAAGAGTTGTTGTTAATGATTTACCTGTGTGTTTAATTAGCTACTTTCCATACATAGTTGTCCTCTTATTTGGGAGACAGAGGGAGCAATGAAGGGTAATAGAAGGGTTAGAATAATTCTTCTTCTAGAGCATTGTTAATAGAAATTACAACCATTATAGAAATAATCACCATTCATGACCCTCGGAAGTGGGCTTGAGAATCTATTAAAACGAACTAAAATCTATCACAAAACTCAACAACTTATCTATTTATTCTCTCTTAGCCGAACCTTCCTCATTATAGTTGATTTTCTCATTCTATTCTGGCAGTGACACTTTGTTTTAGTTAAACCACCAACACCCATTTGAATGTTATCCAAAAACTCACTTAATGTCCAGCAATAAAATTAAGGAAAAAGATAGATTCCCTGTGGAATCGATAATTTACTTATTACTTGCTACTTGGGATAGTGTATACTTGCACTTATTCTTATGAATTTTACATCATTTTATTATATACATTCACAAGCGATCATATATATATATATATATATATTTAATTACTTAGTATAAAACGAACCTCTATACCTGTGAATCAATTTTTCTTTTTAAAACCCTAAATTGTGAACCATTAGAAAAATTGGGTCAAAGTGAACTGGATGGATAAAATGGTTATTTTGACTCCTTACTTAATTAAGAGTCTAGTTGAACCCAAATCATAAGGTTAACAAACAGGGAAAATGAAGGTTCTTGCACATTCCCTTTTGGTGACTCAACTATAAGAACTCCAAGTTTAATCCTGCTTTGTTTATAGCAATTTAATATTGAGTAACTTCTTGATAATTTTTCCTTAAATGTATGTGAGAAAGAACAAATCATGCTGAAAAACTCGAGTTGGTTTGTGAGAATAGTATTCAGCTAGGATTAGTAATGTACTATGTTGCCGATGATGCACAGAAATGTTGGGGTCATCAGATGCCGAATTTGGACAATCAGGCGTGAATCTATGTATTCCTACTCGAGAGATTCAAAGTTTAAAATTTTATCTCGAATGTATGTTATACAAGAAAACCCGTTTTGAAAATAATTTTTCGAAGAAATAAACGTAACTTAGACATAATTTAGATATCTACGTTAATCTCTCTCCCGTTCTAAGTTCAAATCGAGAAAAATAAATAAAATATATATATTTATATATTTGATAGGTAAAAACGTTAATGGACAATCTCTTATAATATAGTTGGCAATCCATAATTACTCTTACATTTGACAACCAAGATGAAACTCATACATCCTAAGAAAATTAAAAATTTGGCTAAACTAAGAGCTTCCCATACCAAGAAAGTCTATGAATGGAACCCTCCTCTTTTGCTCCTCCCTCTCGTCGGAACCCGACACCACCGCCGCTGTCGGAGCCAACATTCCACCGCCATGTCGAAGCACGGTGGTGGCCATGAGAGGTGTCCATTTGACGGCGGTTTTTTGTTGCGAGCTTTGTAGGACCTTTGAAAACGGCAATAAGCTATGACGGGTTCGTAGAATATTGTTGTTGTTGTGATTAGTGAAGATTGTGAAACGTTCTCTTCTTCTTCTGGCCATTATTACATGGTAGTGATTCTTGACGGCATTGTCTGTTCTTCCTTTGAAATGTCTCGCGATTAATGCCCATTTGTTCCCATGAAGCTGTTGAAACATTAGAAGTCTCTCTTCTTCTTCTTCGGTGAACGGGTTCTTGTTTATATTTGGATCGAGTTGATTGTACCATCTCAATCTACAGCTTTTTCCTATCGAAAAAAAAAAATCAAACAACGTTCATTTTAGTCTCTATACTTTCATTTCATCTCACGAACGAAGAAACATACTGAAATTTGAAACCTAATATTACCGGATCTGCCCTCGAAGTGTTCAGCAATGTAATTCCAGTTTTGAGGGCCAAACTGTTCAACGAGTTGCCGGAGTTTATTGTCCTCAGCCGGCCGCCAGTGGCCTCGGTAGCAGCTGACCGAGCTGTTTCCGCAGCCACCACCCCCGACACCGCCGCTGCTGCCGCCACTGCTGCTGCTTCTTGATCTCATCATTGAAGAAGAATAAGAAGAAGAAGAGTTCTTTAAAAAAAAAAATTTAATTTTGTTTGTAAGAACAAAGAACACATCCCATTATAAGGCATTTAGTGATCTAATTAGGTAAATGGGTTGGCTTAGTAATAGTACCTTATTTGGGATAATCCCTTCACTACAATTAATTCTTCTTTTTATTCTTTTTTTTATTTGTTATATATTAGGGAAACCTCATTAATATCAGTTGGAAGAAGTTGGTATCTCTCTAATTCACTTTCATAACTAAAATTCTACTTTCATCGTTCATACGATACATACATTCTTCGGTGTACTACTCGATCTTTTATCATTCAATTCAATAGTCTGTTTCAAAAGCTAATAAAACTTGAGTGTGTGTGGCTCGAGATTCGAATCTTCCTGTCTCCCAAAGGTCATGTAAAATTCAAGACACGTGAGACTAGAGTGAAGATTCAAACTTTTGATTTCTTAATCGATGATATATAATCAATTCAAGAAATGTATTGTCATTAGGGTTGTTCTTATTTGGACATGATTTTCGGTTCATTCATGTGTTCTGTATATATATATATATTGTAACAGCTCAAGCTCACTGCTAATAGATATTGTTTGCTTTGACCCGTTACGTATCATTGTAAGGCTTATAATTGTGGGATCTCACAATCCACCATTTGGAGGCCAGTGTCTTCGTTGGCACACCACTAAGTGTCTTGATTGATCAATGATATAATAATCAATTCAACAAATGTGTTGTTCTCAGAATTGTTCTTATTTGGACATGATTTTCAGTTCATTCATGTGTTTCGTATATATATATATATATTGTAACAGCTCAAGCTCGCTGCTAATAGATATTGTTTTCTTTGACTCGTTACGTATCATTGTCAGCCTCACAATTGTGGGTTCTCGCAATCCACCCCCTTGGGAGCCAACGTCTTTGTTGGCACACCACTCGGTGTCTAGCTCTAATACCGTTTCTAACAGTCAAGTTCACTATTAACAGATATTGTCCGTTTTGACCCATTAAGTATTGCCATCAAGACTCAAAATTTTAAAACGCGTCTGTTAGGGATAGGTTTTCACACTTTTGCAAAGAATATTGTATTCCCCTCCAACAGACATGAGATCTCATCTTTAACAGCCCAAGTCCACTATTAATAAATATTGTCCATTTTGACCCGTTACTTGTTGTGGTCAGACTCAAAATTTAGATCTCATACCACTAAAGACTAAATACAAATTATATAAAATAATCATATATAACATTTATTTTGAACTTAATCATATTAAAATGGTTTATTTTTAATTTAGTTATTTAAACTATAAAGAATATTACTATTTTAAAATTAAAAAAATTATATAATACAATAAGAAAATGTACAAAAATAGACAAAATAACAAACACGGACTTCATAGCTCTCGATTAAACAACATAAGACTTCGACTACAAACTTTCTTAACCTACGACTAAACAACACAGCATCCCGAACACAAATTACTTAATAACTTCGAGGTTAATAACGCCGTTATCGCCTCGAACGTTGGGGGTATAATAGACAAATTAACGTAAAAGTTAATAAATAAATAAATAAATATAGAGAGTGTTTTTGGATAAGCAACAATATTTTTCTTCTTACGTTGTTTGCTTATTTTTTCCCTTTTGCAGTTAGCCAAATCTCAGTAAACAGATTCTGATGACGTCACGATGTCCCAAAAGTGGGTCCCCTTGGACTCAGAATTCAAACACAAATGGTCAAACTCAAAAACAGTTTAATTATATATATATATAAATATATATTATTTTCTATATTAAATTATAACTTCAATTATTAAATTTGTAATTTTGGGTCTTTAAACTTTTAAAAATATATATATATTTAATAATAATTATTAACAAATTTTTGAAAATTTATTATTATTTTTAAATAAAATAATCTATTCGACGTAGAATTGAATTTTTATAATCGAATAGAATATTAAACTTTCAATTTTATGTAAAAATAGTGTGAGATTTCACATTGGTTGTAAAGGAGAATGATGAGGTTGATGGCGATACATAACAGGCTAAAGTGGACAATATCTGCTAGCGATGGGCTTGGACAGTTACAAATGGATTAGAGGAAGATATCGGGTTGTGTGCTAGCGAGGACGATGGGTCCCCGAAGGGAGGTGGATTGTGAGATTCCACCTCGGTTGGAGAGGGGAACGAAATATTCTTTGTAAGGGTGTAGAAACATCTAACTAGTATACATGTTTTAAAAATCGTGAGGCTGATGGAATACATTTTAAGAATTGTGAGGTTCCACATTGGTTGTAAAGGAGAACGAAACGTTTTTATAAGGACGTGAAAATCCCTCTCTAGTAGACGCATTTTAAAAATTGTGAGGCTGATAATGATACGTAACACGCTAAAGTGGACAATATCTGCTAGCTGGGCTTGGGTAGTTACAAATGGTATCAGAGCAAGACATCAGGATGTGTGATAGCGAGGACGATAGGCCCCTCCAAGGGAGGTGGATTGTGAGATTTCACCTCGATTGGAGAGGGGAACGAAACGTTCCTTGTAAAGGTGTAGAAACATCTAACTAGTAGACGTATTTTAAAATTTGTGAGGCGAACGGGATACACGTAACAGCTCAAAACGGACAATATCTACTAGCTTAGCAGTGAGCTTGGATGGTTACAAATAGTTTTCCTAATTTTTTTTAAAAAACATGGAATGGTCTCACTTATTAAGTAAAATTGAAAGTTTAGAAACTTATTAGACATAAAATATAAAATTTAAACACTTTCGTTATTACATTTTTAAAAACTATAATTTAATACTATTTTCTAGGCTAAACTATACATATATACGATCAGGTACGTATGTTTCTCGATTTGATGCCCGAGAGACCTCAGGATCAAGTTGATCTGATTCCAAATCCATATTTTCGAGTTCAGTGAAATTTTATATAACAACACCATTATGGTTCCTCCGTTTCCACGGTCAAAACTTTAAGGTCTTGCTGATTTCTTCCCTCTCTAATTTAGGTATCAGTGAGTGGTAAACAGTATACCGGTGTACAGTTCCTTCTTCTTTTGAAGAGCGTATGAAGTGATATCTCAATTAAATGTTTTGACTTTTAAAAGTTAGAAAACTATAATAATATTTACACCGAGGATTTAGACCAAAGAGTTAAAAATGGTAACGAACTAAAATTTAACCTTCAAAATATATATTTTCTTACCCAAAAAAAAAAAAAAGAATTTCTTCTTTGTTCCAATTAAAAAAGGCCAAGAAAAATAGTTAATAATATCCATTATTTATGGCAAGTTTTACATCACCTTATTTTTCTACGTAATTAAGTCAAATTTATTGACTCTAACAATGTGAAAGTAATATTGGTGGATAGTTCATGTTTAGAAACATGTGCCCATCAACGGAATAAAATTGCAACGATTGATGCTCGGGGTTTGAGTTAAGACTTAAAATTTAGATTTGACATCTAATTGATCCGACCAACCTGAGTTATGTCTCTTTATTCATACATGTATTGAATTTAGATCAAGATTTAAAATTTGGATTCGGTATCTGATGGGTCTGACCAACATGAGTCATTTCCCTTTATTAATTCATGCCCATGGTTTGGATCAAGATTTAAGATTCGGAGGCTCTGACTAACATGAGTCATTTCCCTTTATGCCCATTGTTTGGATCAAGATTTAATATTCGGAGGCTCTAACCAACATGAGTAGGCTCTGACCAACATTCCCTTTATTAATTCATGCCCATTGTTTGGATCAAGATTTAAGACTCGGATTTGGTATCCGATGGCTCTAGCCAACATGGGTCATTTTCCTTTATTCATTCATGCCCGGAATTTAGATCAAGATTTAAAATTTAGATTCGATATCTAATGGCTATTACCAAAATGAGTCATTTTTCTTTGTCATTCATGTCCAGAATTTGGATCGAGATTTAAATTTCAAATTTCGTACCCGATGGCTCTAACCATGAGCTGGTACGTAATGATTCTGACCCACATGAGTCATTTTCCTTTATTCCTTCATACCCATAATTTGATTTGGTATCTGATGGCTTTGACCAATGTGAGTGATCGAGATTTAAAATTCGAAGGGTAAAATGGTAATTTAATATATTTTAAAAACCAGGGTGCCTCCCACAATATTTTAAAATAAGTATAGTAATTTTTATTTTAGGTAAAACCATTATTCAAACGGACAATTTTACTAAAAGACAATAAATTTTAAGGGAAAAAAAAAAGTAGACTAAAATCATTGATTGGACAAAATGAACATGATTTTGTTGTTATAAATAGAATCATCTGATGAATACACCATTTTAACACACTCCACCTTTATTAATACTTTTGTTTGACATTTGTTTTAACATTATTTAATATTTATATTTAATACATCCCATCTAATATATTAAATTCCTAAAACTTAAAAATGATTTATACTTAAGAATAGAAAAACAAGAAAGTATACAAAACCCGAAACCCACCAAGATTAAAGATGTAACAATCCAAGGCCACCGCTAGCATATGTTATCCTCTTTCAAATTTTCCCTCAAAGTTTTTAAAATGCGTCTGTTAAGGAGAAGTTTCCACACCTTTATTACAGAATGCTTCATCCCTCTCTCCAATCGACATGAGATCTAACAAAAAAAGTATAAAGAAATCCATAAAGTTTTCTGCCAGAATATTTCACATCACAGAAAAGAAACAAGAAAATACACAAAACCCGAAACCCGTTGTATCTGAAAAATAAGATACCCAACAATGAAAGGCCAGAAAATTCCACACAAAAGAAACAAGAAAGTACACAAAACCCACCGAAATTAGAGCGGACAAAGAGAAGAAAGTTGGAGAAAGTGTTAATTGTGGACAGTTAAAAGCTTTTGTATTTTGTTATTGAGATCTCACCAACAACCTATGAAGGGAGGGAAACCCAATTCATTTGGTTGGTTGCATTACAGATTTTGAGAAACATTCCAAATTCCTCATAATACATTTCTGGCTGTGCGGTTACATTAGGTTGTCATAACCCATCATTACCATTTCTTTTTTGTTTCTTGGTTTTCTTTTATG